AAATTTAGCAATTGTCTAGCTATTTAGCAGAGTTGTTGAGGAACTCAAAAGCTAAAAATAATAGCAAAAGATTGTTTCGTACAAAACACTTTAATGCATTTTACAAACACTTATTAGATACGTTAACACTGCAATTGTATTTATGTAACCCTGTTACAGATAAGTGTTTGACAATATATACTGTCTATGTAAACATGTAACAGATAAGTGTTTGACAATACTATTTATGTAAACATGTTACAGATAAGTGTATCACAATACTACTTATGTAAACATGTAACAGATAAGTGTTTGACAATACTATCCATGTAAACCTGTTACAGATCAGTGTATCACAATACTACTTATGTAAACCTGTTACAGATAAGTGTTTGACAATTCTATCTATGTAAATCTGTTACAGATAAGTGTATGACAATACTATTTATGTTACCTGTTACAGATAAGTATATAACAATACTATCTTTGTAAATCTGTTACAGATAAGTGTTTGACAATACTATTTATGTTAACATGTTACAGATAAGTGTATCACAATACTTCTTATGTAAACATGTAACAGATAAGTGTTTGACAATACTATTTATGTAAACATGTTACAGATAAGTGTATCAAAATACTACTTATGTAAAAATGTAACAGATAAGTGTTTGACAATACTATCTATGTTAACCTGTTACAGATAAGTATATGACAATACTATTTATGTAAACCTGTTACAGATAAGTGTTTGACAATTCTATCTATGTAAATCTGTTACAGATAAGTGTTTGACAATACTATTTATGTAAACATGTTACAGATAAGTGTATCACAATACTTCTTATGTAAACATGTAACAGATAAGTGTTTGACAATACTATCTATGTAAGCCTGTTACAGATAAGTGTATGACAATACTATCAATATAAACATGTTACAGATAAGTGTTTGACAATACTATCTATGTAAGCCTGTTACAGATAAGTGTATGACAATTCTATCTATGTAAACCTGTTACAAATAAGTATATGACAATTCTATTTATGTTACCTGTTACAGATAAGTATATAACAATACTATCTATGTAAACCTGTTACAGATAAGTGTATCACAATACTACTTATGTAAACATGTAACAGATAAGTGTTTGACAATACTATACATGTAAACCTGTTACAGATCAGTGTATCACAAAACTACTTATGTAAACCTGTTACAGATAAGTGTTTGACCATACTATCTATGTAAACCTGTTACAGATAAGGGTATGACAATACTATTTATGTTTCCTGTTACAGATAAGTGTATGACAATACTATCTATATAAAAATGTTACAGAAAAGTGTTTGACAATACTATCTATGTAAACATGTTACAGATAAGTGTATGACAATACTATCTATATAGACATGTTACAGATAAGTGTTTGACAATACTATCCATGTAAATCTGTTACAGATAAGTGTATGACAATACTATCAATATAAACATGTTACAGATAAGTGTTTGACAATACTATCTATGTAAGCCTGTTACAGATAAGTGTATGACAATTCTATCTATGTAAACCTGTTACAAATAAGTATATGACAATTCTATTTATGTTACCTGTTACAGATAAGTATATGACAATACTATCTATACAATACTATTTATGTAAACATGTTACAGATAAGTGTATCACAATACTTCTTATGTAAACATGTAACAGATAAGTGTTTGACATTACTATCCATGTAAACCTGTTACAGATCAGTGTATCACAATACTACTTATGTAAACCTGATACAGATAAGTGTTTGACAATACTATCTATGTAAACCTGTTACAGATAAGTGTATGACATTACTATTTATGTTACCTGTTACAGATAAGTGTATGACATTACTATTTATGTTACCTGTTACAGATAAGTATATAACAATACTATCTATGTAAACCTGTTACAGATAAGTGTTTGACCATACTATCTATGTAAACCTGTTACAGATAAGTGTTTGACAATTCTATCTATGTAAATCTGTTACAGATAAGTGTTTGACAATACTATTTATGTTAACATGTTACAGATAAGTGTATCACAATACTTCTTATGTAAACATGTAACAGATAAGTGTTTGACAATACTATACATGTAAACCTGTTACAGATCAGTGTATCACAAAACTACTTATGTAAACCTGTTACAGATAAGTGTTTCACAATACTATCTATGTAAACCTGTTACAGATAAGGGTATGACAATACTATTTATGTTTCCTGTTACAGATAAGTGTATGACAATACTATTTATATAAACATGTTACAGATAAGTGTTTGACAATACTATCTATGTTAACCTGTTACAGATAAGTATATGACAATACTATTTATGTAAATCTGTTACAGATAAGTGTATGACAATACTATCTATATAAAAATGTTACATATTAGTGTTTGACAATACTATCTATGTAAACATGTTACAGATAAGTGTATGACAATACTATCTATATAGACATGTTACAGATAAGTGTTTGACAATACTATCCATGTAAACCTGTTACAGATCAGTGTGTCACAATACTACTTATGTAAACCTGTTACAGATAAGTGTTTCACAATACTATCTATGTAAACCTGTTACAGATAAGTTTATGACAAAACTATTTATGTTACCTGTTACAGATAAGTGTATGACAATACTATTTATGTAAACCTGTTACAGATAAGTATATTACAATACTATTTATGTAAATCTGTTACAGATAAGTGTATGACAATACTCTTTATGTAAACCTGTTACAGATAAGTGTATGACAATAATATTTATGTTACCTGTTACAGATAAGTGTATGACAATACTATCTATATAAACATGTTGCAGATAAGTGTTTGACAATACTATCTATGTAAGCCTGTTACAGATAAGTGTATGACAATTCTATCTATGTAAACCTGTTACAAATAAGTATATGACAATTCTATTTATGTTACCTGTTACAGATAAGTATATGACAATACTATTTATGTTACCTGTTACAGATAAGTATATAACAATACTATCTATGTAAACCTGTTACAGATAAGTATATGACAAAACTATTTATGTTACCTGTTACAGATAAGTGTATGACATTACTATTTATGTTACCTGTTACAGATAAGTGTATGATAATACTATTTATGTAAACCTGTTACAGATAAGTGTTTGACAATACTATCTATGTAAACCTGTTACAGATAAGTGTATGACAATACTATTTATGTTACCTGTTACAGATAAGTATATAACAATACTATCTATGTAAACCTGTTACAGATAAGTGTATGACAATACTATTTATGTTACCTGTTACAGATAAGTATATAACAATACTATCTATGTAAACCTGTTACAGATAAGTATATGACAATACTATTTATGTTACCTGTTACAGATAAGTATATAACAATACTATCTATGTAAACCTGTTACAGATAAGTATATGACAATAATTTGTAAATACAGGCTTTCAGCGCATAGTCTATATATTGAATCTGGAAGATACATGTACATTAATTTGGCGAGACACCTAAGATTTAGCACTAAATGTAATTAGAATGATGTGTAGAAGACTAGTATCATTTTATTCTGGTTTGTAATTTTTGTTCTGACATTAGATCAAAATGTATTAAGCCCTATTTCTGGCGCCGCCCTTCTATCTTTAAGCTTGTACAACTTCTGTCTGTAAGGAATATAAAACAACTTCATGTCGAAAATGAGCATTTATTTGATTAAAATGCCAGTAATGAAAGTATGACCAATAGATACATGTTGATGGTATAAAGGCAAAAAAAGATTTGGGATCTTCAATAGAAAAACGCCCCATACATGTACATATAGCTATATGTGTACAGTCACAATACGGTGGACATGCAGGGGAGGAGGAGGGAAAAAAATTCTTTGCTTAACCATCGTGGAAACCTTCCTGTGTTTACATTTTTTTCAGTGGAGTATCACGTGACATCCGACACCAAAACTAGTCGTCAAACCCGTAGCTGGGCTGACTACGTTTCCAGTCGACCAGCCCTTACCCGGGCTGGCTACATTTTACATTTCCGGAATAAAAGGACTAGTATTACATATAACTTAAATGATTGAATACAACAAATACATTAATTGACTAACATAAAAATAGGCATTTACTAAACAGATTGTATAAATTACTTTATGTATAACATAAATACAATTATACTCTCGTGTTTAGCATGGAAACAACCTAATTACACCCAGGATATACTCTGCTCTGTTTTTTGCCCAATAATAACACAACTACATGTCTAGTCGAAAATGAGCATTTATTTGATTAAAGTGCCAGTAATGAAATTATGACCAATAGATACATGTTGATGGTATAAAGGCAACACAAGATTGGGGATCTTCAATAGAAAAACGTCACAAACTTGGACAGAAATATACTATACGCATTTCTGTTCTGTATCAACATGTATCTATTGGTGATAATTTCATTACTGGCATTTTAATCAAATAAATGCTCATTTTCGACTAGACATGTAGTTGTGTTATTATTGGGCAAAAAACAGAGCAGAGTATATTCTGGGTGTAGTTAGTGTCGTATTTTGACTTTTCGGTTTGTTTGGCCTGTTAAGCCATTTAGTAATTATCGACTGTACTTACCTGGGGACATCCAGGCATTGTAAAAAAGTGAACTATGATGGCTGATTAAAACCAGACATGATGCAAAAGTTTTTAGTTTTCATTTGAGTATGAGAACACAACATGGTGTCAGAAGTAACTGAAAAGAATCCCAGAAGCTCCACGACGAAAAAGTAAGACATTTTTGTGTGAGAATATTTCTCAAATCGTGCATTTGATCGGTGAAACGAGAGTTGTTTCACACACACGTGGTATCTAGAATCGACCTCGTGGCGCGAACAATGGAGAACATCAAAGCACCGCCGGAGTTGGATCTCACAACTTAGCCGAGAGATGGCGTAAGTGGGAACAAACAATGCAATTATATATAAATATAGCGATGTCTGGCAGGGAGGAAAAAGACAAATGCAGTGCATTTTTATACCTGATCGGTCAGGATGGCCGAGGAGTGTTCAACACGATGACATTCGACGGAGACACGCGAGACAAAATAGAACCGTTGTTTACGAAGTTTAAAGAGTACTGCCAACCGCACGAGAACACCATCGTATGGAGACACAAATTTAACACAAAAGTTCAAGGAAAAGGAGAAACGATTGACCAGTATGTCACTGAACTTAGAACCATCAGTAAAAACTGTCGTTTTGGTCTACTTACGGATGAGCTAATTCGCGATAGAATAGTATGTGGTGTGAACAGCGGGAAACTGAAGGAAAGGCTACTCCGGGACGGGGAGTTAACCCTCATTAGAGCAATAACTACATGCAGAGCGAGCGAGGAAAGTCATCACATGATGAAAAACCTCCACGGGGAGGAGGTTGTAGCGAGTGTAAAGAAAAGTAGAGACTACAAGAAAACATCGCACAAACCGACCACGCAGTCATCAAAACAATACAAACGTGTGGAAACTCCGAGACACTCTAATCTATGTGGTCAGTGTGGGGGGCAACACATGAAAGGGAACTGTCAAGCTTTCGGGAAAAAGTGTCTAAAGTGCCAGAAGCTCAACCATTTCATAAAGTGCTGCAGGACCAAAAACCCTGGTAGAGTGCACAATGTTGAAAACAGTGCGCACAATGAAACTGACCCTCTATTCATCGGATCAGTTGAATCATCACCTTAACACGACACAGAGTTTGGGAGAGATGAAGTGTTCGTAAACCTGAAGTTGTGTCAAGTGAGCGTGAAATTCAAAGTTGACACTGGCTCACAAGCCAATATGATTCCTCTCAAAACTGTGCAGAAATTACGACCTACAGTCAAAGTGGAGGTCCAAGGTAACGCTGAAAAGCTACACAGGAGACAAGATACCTGTGGCTGGAAGGTGTGTAATACCGTACAAGGACAGTCAGTTAAAATTCTATGTCACTGACTCCACACATACTCCGTTGCTCGGATTTAGGTCATCGCAAGATCTAGAAGTCATCAAGGTTGAACTTACCACCAACACCGAAAGGAAAAATCCTGTAGACATGTACCCCAAACTGTTTGAGGGACTTGGCTGCCTAAAAGAAAGTTACAAAATTCAAATTGATGAATCCGTAACACCGGTGGTGAATGCTTCTAGAAACGTGCCAGCAGCGTTGAGAGACAGACTGAAGGACGCACCAAGTGAAATGGAGAGAGACGGCATTATTGAAAAAGTTGACCAGCCCACCGATTGGGTTAGCTCATTAGTAGTGGTAGAAAAGCCCTCAGGCAAATTAAGAGTGTGTTTGGATCCACGTTATTTGGACGTAGCCATCAAGAGGGAACACTATCAGTTACCTACCTTTGAGGACATTGTGTCAAGGATTCCAATGCCAAGTACTTCTCCAAATTGGATGCCAATCATGGATACTGGCAGGTAGCGCTAGACATGGAAATTCAGAAGTTGACCACGTTCAACACGCCATTTGGTCGATACTGTTATACAAGAATGCCATTTGGGATTAAATCCGCCCAGGAAGTGTTCCAAAATCGGATAAGTCAGCATTTTGATGGCATTCAAGGGATTTAGACAGACATCGACGACATACTAGTCTGGGGTGCGAGCCTCGAGGACCATGACAGGAACCTTCAGAGAGCCCTAGATAGGTGTCAGGAGATTGGTCTCACGTTGAACAAGGAGAAATGTAAATTTCGTCAGACTGAGGTCAGCTACATCGGACACCGGCTAACGCAACAGGGAGTACACCCTGATCCATCGAAAATCGAAGCCGTGAAGGACATGCCTCAACCAATAGACAAGAAGGGTGAAGAGAGACTGTTAGGTTTTGTGAATTACCTATCAAAGTTCATTCTGAACATGTCCACCGTCACTGAGCCAATCAGAAGATTACTCAAGAGTGATGTCGAGTTTGAGTGGACCAAGCCACAGGAAGAGGCGTTCAAAGAGATAAAAAAGATCATCACCAGGAAACCGGAACTGAAGTACTTTGATGTCAAGAGGCCTATAACGGTCAGTTGTGATGCATCCAAATCAGGTTTGGGAGCGGTGTTGCTTCAGGACGATCAACCGATAGCTTATGCTTCAAGAGCGTGACGGACGCTGAAACGCGTTACGCGCAGATAGAAAAGGAGTTATTAGCAGTGGTTTTTGCAGTGGAACGTTTCAACCAATACACGTATGGTCAGTGCATCAAGGTCGAGTCGGACCACAAACCATTGGAATCGATAATGCACAAGCCACTATACCAGACACCCCTCCGTTTACAACGTATGCTTTTGAGATTACAGAAGTATGACATCGAGTTAAAATACAGACCCGGGAAAGAATTGGTTCTTGTCGACACTCTATCGAGAGCATACATTCAGAAAAGTGTGACTGACGACAACCTCAGTGAGGAAATTGAGAGACATGTTATGTCGGTGTTGCGAAATATCCCGGTCTCGGATGGGAAGTTGGAGCAAATCAGAACAGAAACTCTGAAAGATGAAACCCTCCAAGAAGTAGTCAAGATTGTTGAGGAAGGATGGCCAGACCACAGGTCCGAGACCCCAAGCAGAACTCATGATTTCTGGACCAACAAAACAGAGCTCACACATGTACATGGAAACCTTTTCAAAGGGGACAGGATTGTGATTCCGAGAACTCTGCAGGCTGAGATGCTGCAGAAACGGGTCACATGGGAATACAGAAAAGCAAGAAACGGGCGCAAGAACTCTTGTATTGGCCTGGTATGGGCAATCAGATATCTGACATGATATCAAAGTGTAGCACATGTCTCGATTACCAAAATGCCAACGCCAAGGAACCCATCTTATCTACAGACATTCCGAAATGACCATGGCGAGTAGTAGCTACAGATTTGTTCATGTGGAACAATGCTGACTATGTCGTAGTGTGCGATTACTACTCCAGATATTTTGAAGTTGGAAAACTCGAGAACACCAGGAGCGCAACCGTAATAAACCAGCTCAAATCATTCTTTGCGCGACACGGAATACCTGAGGAAGTCCGGAGCGACAATGGTCCGCAATATAGCTCCAAGGAATTCAGGAAATTCGCGGAAGACTGGGGGTTCGATCACAAGACGTCCAGTCCGCACTATCCCCAGAGTAACGGTCTTGCTGAATAAACTGTGCAAACAGTCAAGCGAATGCTAGAAAAAGCATTGAAGGACGGAAGAGACCCTTATATCAGTCTCCTAGAGTACAGGAACACTCCCACCGATACCCAATCACCAGCAAAGTTGCTGATGAGTAAGGAGTTACGGTCTGTGATTTCGATCACAGAGAAAAACCTGCGACCAAAGACTGTGAGTTTATATAAGACCAGGAAACAAAGGGAAACGACTCGGTCGAAACAGAGTCGGCATTATGACAAATCCGCAAAGCAACTCCCCATACTCTCATCAGGAGAGCAGATCAGATTCAGGCATCAGGATGCGTGGAGACCAGGTAATGTCGTGGAACATCACGATCATTCACCGAGATCGTACATGCTCCGTACACCAGAGGGAAGGTGTTATCGACGGAACAGACGACACATCATAAGATCGTCCGAGCGGAAACAACCCGTCAACACTGACGTTGACCCTGACGACATCGTACCGGAAACCGCTTCGCGTGTTAAGGACAACACTGATGTCGCGACTCCGAAACCGATTATCGGACACACCGATAAATCCGCCCAAGCTGACGCGAGCACCACTGTTTCGGATCAACCTACACAAAGTAGCCCCAAAGCGACGGTCACACGTAGTGGTAGGCGAGTGAACCAACCGTCGAGATATCAAGAATATGAGATGTGAAATGGGGCATAATAATCCCCTATACATGTGTAGATAGTGACAGTTTAATTTTTGGTTTGGTTCATCTGAATCAATATTTTTTATTTATTTTTTTCAAAAGTTTTCAAATAGAATCAATATCTTCATGAAAGTTTATGCACAAAACCTAGGATCCAGGTGAACAGAGCTAAAAGTACAACAAAACAATTTGTTTGTGTTTTCCTGTTTATTCCGAGTGGACGAAGAGACGAACTCTTGCCAATTTGTTACTTTATGAGTTGTTTTCAAAATAGACATGGTTCACATTCAATCTCATGATAAAGTAATTGATCTGTTTAAACATACATAAATCATGACATTTTCTAGTCAATTCTAATCATTTTATTTTTTAAATAAGTCAATATTGATGTCCATCCTACAGTCTATTTAATTATAATATAATTAACAATGACACCCAGAAAAGACATTGGATGATTTGTTCAGAACTTTGTTCTCAAAAGAAAGGAGTTGTCGTATTTTGACTTATCGGTTAGTTTGGCCTGTTAAGCCATTTAGTAAGTATCGACTGTAGTTACCTGGGGACATCCGGGCATTGTAAAAAAGTAAACTATAATGGCTGATTAAAACCAGACATGAAGTAAAGGCTTTTAGTTTTCATTTGAGTATGAGAACACAACAGTTAGGTTGTTTGCATGCTAAACACGAGAGTACAAAACAACTTAATAACCTTGGTAACTTTGTGTGTATTGCCACTGCAAGACGTGACAGCTGATAATGATATTATTGTGTTATTTTGTTTGTACTGCCACTGCCAGGCGAAAGAGCTACTAGTAATATTATTGTGTTATTTTGTATGTATTGCCACTGTCAGGGGGTGACTGCTACTAGTAATTTTATTGTGTTATTTTGTTTGTACTGCCACTGCCAGGCGAGAGAGCTACTAGTAATATTATTGTGTTATTTTGTATGTACTGCCACTGTCAGGCTATTGCCACTGCAAGACGTGACAGCTGATAATGATATCATTGTGTTATTTTGTTTGTACTGCCACTGCCAGGCGAAAGAGCTGCTAGTAATATTATTGTGTTATTTTGTATGTACTGCCACTGTCAGGCTATTGCCACTGCAAGACGTGACAGCTGATAATGATATCATTGTGTTATTTTGTTTGTACTGCCACTGCCAGGCGAGACAACTGATTGTAATATTAATGTGTTATTTTGTTTGTACTGCCACTGCCAGGCGAGACAGCTGATTGTAATCTTAATGTGTTATTTTGTTTGTACTGCCACTGCCAGGCGAAAGAGCTGCTAGTAATATTATTGTGTTATTTTGTATGTACTGCCACTGTCAGGCTATTGCCACTGCAAGACGTGACAGCTGATAATGATATCATTGTGTTATTTTGTTTGTACTGCCACTGCCAGGCGTGACAGCTACTAGTAATATTATTGCGTTATTTTGTATGTACTGCCACTGCCAGGCGTGACAGCTACTATTAATATTACTGTGCTATGTTGTATGTATTGCCACTGTCAGAGGGGTGACTGCTACTATTATTATTATTGTGTTATTTTGTGTGTATTGTCACTGCCGGGCGAGACAGCTACTAGTATTATTACTGTGTTATTTTGTATGTATTGCCACTGCCAGGCGTGGCAGATACTAGTAATATTATTGTGTTATTTTGTATGTATTGCCTCTGCCAGGCGTGACAGCTACTAGTAATATTATTGTGTTATTTTGTGTGTATTGCCACTGTCAGGCGTGACAGCTACTAGTAATATTATTGTGCTATTTTGTGTGTATTGCCACTGCCAGGCGTGAAAGCTACTAGTAATATTATTGTGTTATTTTGTGTGTATTGCCACTGCCAGGCGTGACAGCTACTATTAATATTACTGTGTTATCTTGTGTGTATTGCCACTGCAAGGCGTGCCAGCTACTAGAAATATTATTGCGTTATTTTGTATGTACTGCCACTGCCAGGCGTGACAGCTACTAGTAATAATATTGTGTTATTTTGTGTGTATTGCCACTGCCAGGCGTGACAGCTACAAGTAGTATTATTGTGTTATCTTGTGTGTATTGTCACTGCCAGGCGTGACAGCTACTAGTAATATTAATGTGTTATTTTGTGTGTACTGCCACTGCCAGGCGTGACAGCTACTAGTAATATTACTGTGTTATTTTGTATGTATTGCCACTGTCAGGGGGTGACTGCTACTAGTAATACTATTGTGTTATTTTGTTTGTACTGCCACTGCCAGGTGTGACAGCTACTAGTAATATTATTGTGTTATTTTGTATGTACTGCCACTGTCAGGCGTGACAGCTACTAGCAATATTATTGCGTTATTTTGTATGTACTGCCACTGTACTGAGTATTTTATTCCAGTTTCCTTTTAACTTTTTCTTCACTTGTTGTAATGTATATATAAATTCATTATCGTATCTGCTTTTTTACATTAATGCCACATACAGTTTTTACAATGTACATATCTATCAATATTATATTTTTTATCCCCACACTATTTGTAGATAGTCATGAATGAATATGTAAGAACATTGCATCTATCTCCCTAAAGTATTCTTTCGAATATTTTAAAAGTTTTGTGTCCTAAATTTTTACTACGAATTGATAAGTCTAGAGACTATGTACAGGTTCATTTGAAGTATTTGTTATGTATTTTTATTTTCGTATTTTGGTATTTTGTTCTTTCCGTATAATCTGAAAACGATAAAGCTACACATAATGTTTGAGATGTATGATTTTCCATGAAATGAACGTACTTGTCGATGGCAGTGAATTATGGCGTCCTGCTGGGTATTGAGACAAATGTTAAGGTTCCCATTTTTACTGCAAACATAAGTTTGTTTCACATCCACACAGTCCATAAACGATATTGATTTATCACATAATCGGCCTGTTATCCAGTGAATTTGCCCGTGTAATATTTTTTACATATGTCACTAGTGTAATATACCTTGGAGCATTTTCCATTGGCTGTGCCAGTCAGAAATCGACTGTGACGTCATAATACGGACAATGACGTGACGTCATAAATTGTGTGAATGGCGCAACAAAATGTCTGTCTCCGTTTGATTAAGCCCTCTACATTTTGGCTTTAAAACCTGTCAAAATGTAAGTTTTCTGAGATATGTGATAAAAAAGTATCTTAAGTTTGTTTTCATTTCATATGAGCTTTTATGAAACTCGTCTCGAAGTTTTATTTTTTGCTCGCCAAGGCTCGCAAATATAAAAACTCCTAAGACTCGTTTCATAAAAGCTCATATGAAATGAAAACTGTATAACATAAATAATGGTATTCAATATAAACAATACAATACAATATAATTCTGATGACCTGAGGAGTCCTTAGGGACGGGGCAAGATCCCTGGCCCAATTGACCGATCTGAAGAAATGATATCAATGTTACGTCCTTATTGTCGTATACTCCCATTCTCCCTGACCTTCTATGCCACTTTTATACTATTTTAAGTACAGTTAATATGTTCTGTATTTCTTTCTTTCTGTCCTTCTCCTTCCTTCCTTTGTATTTCTAGCATATATTTTTTGTACAAAAAATAGACGTACATTAACTTATGTATTTGGAGCTGTATGTCAGTCAATGTATTATATATACAAACAAAACAAAAACAAAATCAGAACAACCGCTAAACTATGGTAGCTAGGTTGGTATATCAATTACAGACAATGTTAGGAAGTCTATGTATAGAGTTAAACAGGTTCACCTGTATACGTTAGGAGGTATATATAAGGAGGTATAATTTACAATGTATATCCGGTTTTTAGTCATGTAACGCATTGTTGTACGTGTATATCAGCGAGAACTAGTCTGACTTCACTGACACCCGGCCCCACGGCTATGACAGTAAGTGTTGCTGCATATGACTAATATCATACATTATTATTTGTTCTATGTCGAATTAGCTGTTGTTTTAATTTAAAATAAGTATGTCGCCAATATTGCTTGTGGCGCCCTTAACAACCGTTTGTTTGGGTGATACGTCCCGGTTGTGAGGGAACACGCGGGGACCCGATGATTTATTACAGTATGGCAATATTTTGACCTTAACTGATGTGTTTAAAGAAATAAAACGCATTTGAATTGTTTACATTCGTTTTTGGTAAAATAGGCCACCCCATATGATGGTATAAACGTATATAACATTATTGGGGTGACATTTTTTCCTTTGAATTCCAAATACCGTTAGACTGTAACACGTTCTTAGGCCTCTGTAAGTGGACACACCTAGTATATGCTAGCTATTCCTGTGTATTGTATACCACAAAATCAATGAAAATTCTGTCAAATCTGTTACGACCTCCTCGAAATGTTCCTTCAGTTTACCATAACAAAGTGAGTCGTTACTCTCCTTTGTTCNCCCCCCCCCCCTCTTGATAGATGCATTAATAACGAAGTATGCCTCATTGCAAACTTGGTTGATATTTGTATGCATGTGTATATAATTACATTGTGTTTAAGTACCAGGTGTGGGGCTGAATTACGGGCTTATACTGGAAACATGAATGTATTCAATTAATAATTGTGATCAATTCTTTTATCTAGACAGGGTTACATAAGTTAATTTAATTACAATATGGACCTGTCATTCTCAATGTTCAGTGAACATATTAAAATGACATAGTTATAATAACAATAACACCTCTCACATTATCGCCGATCTAAAAACACATTCCGCGTGTATACTTTTTTAAAGACTCTAGAATGGGTAAAATATGCATTGAGTTTTTTAACTTGTTCCCTAACTGCCAACAGAGTAACTTAAACGTTAAAAAATCTTCATTTGTTCACAACGTATAGTTCTGGTAGCAACCTGGACCATACTCAGCGAGCATTTTTATGGTTATATGGTAGGGATCTCAACCGTTTCAATGTTCTGACTCAGACAACGACCCCAATGACAGGACTAAATATGTTGGTCAAGTCCAGTAACAGCAATTGTATAATCTAAATCATTTTTTATGTTAAGACAAGAGCCTAAGTATCCTGGGGTTTGGTCAGACCCCTCAGCCAATCCTGGTGGTATGATTATATTTATCACGTGATACCTAGCAATTGTTTATATTGACTAAAATATTAGTTCCGGAGAAAGGGCACAGATTGAGTGGACCTGACACTGGAGTTAATCCAAGTGGCATGATTATGTTTATAAAGGCCTGGGGTTAGGCCCCGCCCCTCACATTCGACAGAATAACTTTGAGTGTACAGCTTTCCTGGCTCTTGGTTTAATTGTGTTAGGTTTGTTTGTGCTTTATGCCCCATTACTAGCTATGGTCATTTAAGGACGAACGAGGTTTTGGTGGTGGAGGAAAACCGGGAAAAAAACGCCGACCTGCGAACAATACCTGGCGACTTCCCCACGTTCAATTGTATGCCTTGAGCCCCGCGACCCATTGGCGGAGGGTTAGTGATAATAGATGGTCAGACACACTAAGCACTAGACCACCGCGGCCCCTAACTCCCTGGCTCAAATTATGGAATCAGCTAAAATTCTCAACCCATAATATTATAGTAATATATATCCAATCGTATTCCTATACTGTTTGACTACTCAAATCAAGTCATAACAGAAACGCTAATGTTCGACTTGGTTAGGTGACTAATATAATGGTATTTTCAGGTGTATTATAAGGGGATTGTCTTTTCAAATGGTGTTTTATGTCCATTTGTGTTATATTGCTGGTCAAATATATCGATAAATTCGATTATTTTTTCTCAAGAGTCACATTACTACTAAAGATTTAAGCGACCGAAATCAAGGTCAGCTACATCATGCGTCGGGTAACCGCCTTTTCTCCTGAAAAATGCAATATATTTCAAATCATCACACTTGCCACGTGACAGAGTCGTTTTAGATAACAGACATAGGAGGCTGATATGCAGTTTATATTACAGACATTTATGCGTATTATATTTTAAAATTACACGGATTGAATTTTCGGGGGCATATTCCAAGCGAATTATCGAAAATATCATCCCGCGATAATAATTAATTATTTTAAACGACTTTAATGATGCAATTGATGATAATAGCTACCACCTTTGATCAAATTAATCTTGAAACGTCTTTCTAGGACGAACGATTTAGAAGTGTCGAAATCTTAATATCTCACCTTCTGACGAAACACAATCATATAATTAACATTTTAACACCTACAGTGAGTTACCCACAAAATGAGTTAGCATCTTAAAATGAATTGAGGTTTCGAATTATAAAATGCATTATTTTATGCTCAACAAATACAAAATCCCCAAGCCGGAAATATGTTTAGACGACATAATATACTGAGTCATGCGACGTAGAATCATGCTACTTAGCCTCTTACTTGCTGGTATCAAGTTCATCGAAATAAACGACAATGTCATTATAAAGGTCATCTTTTATAAAACACCTTCTTATAGTTTCTTTGCTTCCGTCATTTTGACTGATATACCAAACTTGTTGGTGGTTCGCATATCAACATAGATAAATATAAATATAAAATTTATTTATTTCATAAAATTTATGAAACAAGTTATATATAATTTTTATTAATCAATCTTGTTGGCCCGGATGTAAGCGCGAGAGGTGTTAATTTGAAAGGAAACCGGAGTACCCGGAAAAACCCAAGTGGTCGGGCAGGCGACTTCATACCTATTTACCTCCGATCGGGGAATCGAACCCCGGCCGCCTTGGTAAAAGGCGAGTGCATTATCGACTGCGCCGCCCGACCACCCAGATACCCCAACCAGAAAGATATATACAGTGATATTTTAAGTACTTTAATTGAGAAGATAAACTGAAAGTGTATTAATGAGATGTGGATGTGCAAATTTCAAGGGCAGTGAAGGGGATACGAACATCGAAGTCATCTATACTTCTGCTACCGGTAGGAGGTGTGATAGTGTTATTATGGAAATAAATATTTACATGTATCCTTGGAAGCAGATGTCATGATGTGTACGTATCGTTCTGCTGTCTGTAATTTTGTTAATTTGATGTATATATTCTATACGTTAACAATATAAAGCATTTGTTTTGTAGGACCTGCAGGAAGGTCGATGACGACAACATGGATGCAGTGTTGAGCGAAGAATCGCTTAAACAGGAACTTGAGACATTTCCATCAACCTTTGATTTTAATTTGAAGAATCTGACCAAGGACCGTGTAAAAAACACCATAAGGAAATTAGAGGATGACCGGGACAACACAAGAAAGCTTGAAACTTAAGATATACAGATAAGTAACTTTCTGTCGTATTTGTATTTCCTGTTGGGAGATTATGAACATGCACGTGAACACATTGAGGAATCTCTGCAAAAAGATCCTGATAATATCATAGCAAACACAAATAAAGCCAGAATTCTGTTAGAAGAAGGGGAAATCTCTGATGTTAATGATATAATAACAAAACTTCAGATATTGAAAGGAAGAGAGGATTTCGACAGGAGGAAATGCTATGCGGAAGCGGATCTTGCGTACGCGTATTCGCGGTCGGGTCCTTGGTATCACCAAAAGGCGGTAGATCTGTTCACGCAAGTTGTGGCGGCGTATCCTACAGAGTATGCATGGCAATATGGACTCGGTCTGACTTTACTCTGACAGACTCACTTTTTTAATTCACAGGCAGAGGGCAGATTTAATACGGAACAAAACGAGAAGACAACAATACATGCTGCTGAGCTGTTACTAACTGTTGCTACTGAATCAGATGATCCCGTTTTACGTGCGAATGCATTTGCCAGATTAGGAAAAGCAATGTACAATATTTCGAAAATAAAATATACTAACGTGCCTGATAGGATTATGCGTTTAACGCCTAAAGAATATTTTGAAAGAGCAGTAGAATTATGTCCAGAGGAACCATCGGTGTTGGAAATTTGTGGTCAATTCGCACGCTACAGGGGGGAACTAGATACATCGGAAAAACTCCTACGGAATGCACTTAAAATCAAGCCAACGTGTCATGCGTATCACCATCTTGCTCTGACATTAAAGGGGCAAGTAGAAAGTAGGTCATATAAAGGACAGTTTGTAAACACAACTAAGGAAGACCGTTTAGAAAAAGAAATCAGCCAGGGGTCTAGAGATCGGTCCAGAGGAAGTTATCAGAGAGGTCAGGAAAGAAATCAACAGACGTGTGACCGTCGTACAGTCGTGTACAGTCGTTCGGATGACCATAGCAAAGGCGCCTATAACTGTAGTTTGGATGTTGATTGCAACAAACGAGGAGGGATGTACAACCCAGGTCAAGAAAGAAGGTTTACGGGAGTGAAGAGTCGACGTGGAGGTTCACACAAACACGGAAACCAAAATAAAAATGGTCAACAAAATAAGTCATCTAGACCATGCACGCCTAACCAGTCAGAAGGGAAAAGACTTCGTCGAATGATAAAGTCACCGTTAACAGTTTCATTTTACCCTGAAAACGACTTACTTGTTGAAGCAATACAACTACTAGAGAAAACAGAAGAACTGACGACTGAATATGGTCTTGGAATAGAGTACGACAAGGGAATCATATATAGAATGCTAGGCCAGATTGAAAAAGCTGTGAAAGTTTTCAAACAAATAGTTTCAAAAAAAAAGTATCTTCCAACCAAATCACTGATGACAAATGTTTATGAACAGCTCGGACTTTGTCTTCTGGAATTGAGCAAATCCGAAGAAGTATCTCCAGACATGCAGCAGAAATACAAGAGAGATGGTCAAGCCCATCTCCAACATGCTGTCCAAATTCAATCAGAAATAGTAGCAAACGATCCACAGTTTAAAGCGGCTTGGAACTCCTATCCAACACTCAAAGAACTTTTGAGCGATAAAAGTGTCGGGAAGCCAAAACAATTGGCAGTTCTGCATATGCTGATGGGGGACCATAAAGATTCAATTTCCATATACCAGAAATTATTTCGGAAGGAGGAAGCTGAAATGAACCAAGAAGATTTTATTAACTTGCTTGAATGCTATAAGAGAGATGGACAGTTTGAAAAATGTGTTGCTGTTTTAAAATCTCTGGAGTGTACAACCATTTTTGTGGGTCTTCCTCCGTCTTTGATCTTTGATGTGTATATAGATTGCGCGTTTCACGCTTACACAACAGATACCGCACAACTTGCGTATCAACACTTTAGACGCGCCTTCAAAGTGTACAGTATGTTTGACAAGATCTATGAAGACCAAACCAACGTTGACGAAGATGCTGACACAAAAGACATACTAATATTACACACTTGTTCCCATGACTGGAAATGCAAACTTCCCAGAAATCTAGGAACCATTCTAGAAGATGTTACAGGATTACGATACACAATCAACTCAGACGACGTGCTGCCAAATGAATTACTATTGACATCAACGGCTTCTATAATACAGAAAATCCCATTTATCATAATCATGACCCACGAGAGTGCGGACTCGTATCACCCACTATTTGTCGATCAAGCTATCAAGAGGAGTTCCGAACAAAGTGGCCCCCAAGTGTTGGTCGTGACGGACGACGAGTGCAACATGCCAGATATTGCTAGAACAAAGCCGTTTATCCGGATGCCTCCTCTATTAGAGGGCGCTATGGAACCAACCGAACAGATACCAGAGGAGCATCAAGAATGGGTGAAAGAGTTCATCACTCTTCTGAAACCAAAATAACTTATGTGTCTCCATATTGCTTTAACTGCCGCTATATTCGCTTGAGTATCCCCGTATCCCTGTTTTCCGGCATGACTATATAAACTTTTGTTAAATCATGTCTGAAAAGAAATTCATACATTGCGGAACTTCATATAACAAATCATATAAAGGAGTAATTAACAAAACATAATCAACAACAGTGTTCCGAGTTTGAAAATACAGCCAGCAGAAGCTAAAATTGTATTCGAATCCTAGACTTCAGATTGTTATACTGTCCCTCTAACCAAACTAGCTACCTTCTCAACGAAAGTGTTCTGATCCAACTGTGCTACAGTTATAGCCGACGCGAAATTACAGTGGTCACTGTACATACGAAAACCCCACAGTGTATTGACACATGTGTCCTTTACATAGAAGTGTACACGCTTTAATTCAGTGAATGAAACCAATGAGTGTTACAAATTTACTCGAGCAAACAACTAAGTCAACAACTGAGGAAACAACTGATCAGTTTAGCATCAGCAGTTATAACAACAATGTACACTTCTGCCTAAGTTCAAAACATCGCTGAACAAGTTTGGGTTCAGTCATTATTTTATCACTGTACAGTACCGCCGAGCACTCGTTACACCAGCTAATTGTTTGAAGTTACTGAAGAATATGTTCGATAAAAATTCTTATGTATTCCAAGCCCATCAAATTACCAACAATGAATATAATGAGCGTTGCCTATGAAAAATATTCCATTTAAAGAAAAGTTTCTACAATATATTTATAAAGGAACCTGTTCTCTAAAAAGTCATATCAATGTAGAATATTGTACATAAACAACCATTCAATACAGTATGTTTTATATATAAAAAAGTTTTCTACATTTGTATATTAATTTTTTAGATTTTTTTAGACAATTAACGTTTTATAGTTATTTTTCTTGATTGTTGACTTAAGTGTTACTGACGTCAGTGCTCTGTTTATGTACTTTTAAGTGTCACTGATGTCAATGTTCTATTAATTTACGGTAAAGTGTCACTAATGTCAATATTTTATTAATTGGCTGTTAAGTGTCACTGATGTCAATGTTCTATTAATTGACCGTAAAGTGTCACTGATGTCAATGTTCTATCAATTGACCGTAAAGTGTCACTAATGTCAATACTTTATTAATTTGCTGTTAAGTGTCACTGATGTCAAATCTTCTATTAATTGGTTGTTAAGTGTCACTGATGTCAATATTCTATTAATTGACCGTAAGTGTCACTGATGTCAATGTTCTATTTATTGACCTTTAAGTGTTAATGATGTCAACGGATTGTTAATTGACTTTAAGTGTCAGTCATGTCAATGGTGTATTACTTGACTATACGTGTCAATAATGCCAATGGTTTGCCTTTTGCTGTTGTCACTGATGTAAATTATTTGTTAATTGACCATTACGTGTCAATGATGTCATTGGTCTATTAATTGCCAATGATGTGAAGTTTATGTTAATTAACCGTTAGTTGTCACTGATGAAAATTGTCTGTTAATTGAATTTTGTCACTGATGTGAATGTTTTTTTTTTAATTTTTAACTTTAGTGTCACTGATATCAACGTTGTGTTAATTGTCGGTAAAGGGTCACTGATTTCAATGTTTTTAGATTGACCTTAAAGTGTCACTGATGTTGATGTTTTGTTATTTGACTGTTGAAGGTTGCACATTAACTATTTCTATTATTGTACTGTAAGTGACATAAATTTGAATATTTTGCTCATAGATTAACCATTTATCCATTAATAACTTTGTAACTTGTATTTAATATTCCAGGCACGAATTATGCATTGATATGACATATTCAACGTGACACTTACCTGTCTGGAAATAGTCTATTACTAAAAACAATAAATATATCTATAGTAGTGATATCATATTTTGTCAAAAGTCCTTTTTTTACACCAAAGTTACCATGAATTTTTATTTGGATACAAAGCAAGTATTTGTTCCATATATTTTATAATTGATGTCCAGACAGACATTTTCGCTCGGTAAGTGTTTCTTTGCCTATTTGTTATAACACAGATAATCATGTCTTTGATAAAAAATTAATAAAAATAATCAAAGTTTAACTTTTCCTGATTGTTGACTTACCCCTACGTCCACTGACGTCAACGCTCTGTTAACTGATCATTAAGTGTCAGTGGTGTCAATGATTTTGAAATTGAACAAAGAGTGTCACTGATGTCAATGTTTGTTTAATTGACCGTTTAGTGTCACCGATGTCAATGATTTTTAAATTGACCAACGAGTGTCACTGATGTCAATGTTTTCTTAATTAACCGTAAAGAGTCACTGATGTCTTTGCTTGTTTAATTAACCGTTTATTGTCAGTGATGTCAATGTTTTTAAATTGACCGTTAAGCGTCACTGATGTCAATGTTTTTAAATTGACCGTTAAGTGTAAGTGATGTCAATGTTTGTTTTATTGACCGTTTAGTGTTACTGATGTAAATGCTTTTTTGATTGACCGTAAATTGTCACTGATGTCACTGTTTGTTTAATTAAGCATTGGGTGTTACTAATGTCTTTTTTTTAATTGACCAAAAAGTGTCAATGATGTCAAAGTATTTTTATTTGACTATTTAGTGTCACTGATGTTAATGTTTTTTAAATTGACTAAAATGGGTCAATGATGTCAATGATGTCAATGTTTTGTCATTCGACCAATCAATGATGCACAATAACTATTTTTGTTCATTGAACCGTATGTTATATTTTGTTAGATTGTCAAATATTATTCATTTTGCCATTAATAACTTTGAAACTTGTATTTAATATTACAGGCACGAATTATCCATTTATATGACACATTCAACGTGAAATTTACTTTTCTGGAAAGAATCTATTACTAAAAAATAGATATGTCTATAGAAGTGATATCATATTTCGCCAAAAAATAAAAAATCAATCCATCAATTTTTTGTTAATACAAAGCAAGTATATTAATTGTGTTCCATATATTTCATTATTGATGAACAGACCGACATTATCAGGTTTCGTTCAGTTAGTATTTCTTTGCCTATCTGTTATAACACAGATAATCATGTCGTTGAGAATTGTTTTTTCTTTCTTTCTGAATTTAAAGACATTTAAATAATGCATCTTGCGATGTTATTTTGCTCTCGTCTGCTGGATAATTTGGCTAGTTTCGGGGAAGGGTAGGGTAGACGTATGGTGGTTAGTTTGCAAGTCGGCAGACGTAAGAATGGTATTGTGTGGGTGAGCATATATAAGGAGGGTATTTTTTGAAAGGATAGATATAAGGTAGGTATTTTGTTGGAGGACAGATGCAAGGTAGGCAGTTTATAGGAAGGTAAATGAATGGTGGGTAATTTACATAAGATGGGTAATTTGTAAGAATAAACACATAAGGTTTGTATGTTTTAGAGAGGTTAAGGAAGGTGGGTAGTTTGTAGGAAGAAAAACGGAAGGGGGTAGTTTGTAGGCAGACAAACAGGGATGTGGGTGGTTTGTACGCAGACAAACAGGAAAGTGGGTAGTTAGTTGAAAGATAAATGGAAAATAGGTAGTTTTTGTGAAGACAAACGGAAGGTGTGTAGTTTGTAGGAAGATTAACGGAAGGTAGGTAGATTGTGGAAAGATAAACGGAAGGTGGGCAGTTTATAGGAAGAATAACGGAAGGTGGGTAGTTTGTAGGAAGATAAACAGGAAGGTGGGTAGTTTGTGGGAAGATAAACGGGAGGTGGGTAGTTTGTGGGAAGATAAACGGAAGGTGGTTAGTTTGTGGGATGATAAACAAAAGGTGGGTAGTTTGTAGGAAGACAAACGGAAGATGGGTAGTTTGTGGGAAGATAAACGTAAGATGGGTAATTTATATGAAGGTAAATGTAAGGTACAATGTATGTTTTTTAAGTGAATTAATATATAAAATAACCTTGCCTTATTGTTGAATAAAATACTTCATTAACTGACATTTAAATGTGGTTCATTGTAAAGCAGAAACACGTTTTCATTAATTCTGAGTTTGGTGAAGATGTTTTATTGATGATGGGAAATAAACTCAATGGTGTGTGCGCGCTGTGGAAGTCTGCTCTGGGTGATTTTACTTGTACATTTCAACATTGGAGTCTGAGAGGATGGCCTGTGGTACACAACATGGAACGATTCGTGATCGCGAAAAACGTGCAACCGGTATCGCGTTTCTTGTGGAACTGGTGCACCGTTGTAGCTATGTTATCGTTCTCTGTGAACAGACATTATGTAATATGACCTGTCTTGCGTTAACTCTTGCATAATTTTATGATAATGTATCATACATTTATTTCATATTTTTGTTTGCTTATTTTTGTGTTGTTTCGTTTTTACAGTACCGTTATAGATAAAAAGTGTGATGTTTGACTCTAAAATATGTTTTCATAAAAGGGAAGAATGTAATAGAAATCGCTTTAAAAGAAATGTCCCATAGGTGAAAAGTGTTTATGTACTTGCGAATTTCTTCCAAATAAAAGGGAAATAATCAATTTATATGTGTATTGTAGTTGTTCAAAAGTAGTTCTATCGTTTTGATGTTAGCTTGAAATGATGATTTGAATGATTAGTAGGATTTATATACATTAGAAATATTTTATTATGATTTTATTCTAATTATAACATATACCATTAATAGTGCAAGAGCGTGTAAAATATATAACGATAGTATCATGGGCTGGGGGTTGGCGAGTGCGTTCGGAATTTGTTGGACTTTTAGTAGTGTCAGGTATTGTTTCAGCTAAAACACTGGTGCTCTGTTAGTAGTATGTACAAGGGGGTTGTACTTTTTGCATTTTTGAAATCAAAGGAACCGCTCTTGAAATTTATTTCTTCTTTACACCCTAGGGATATGTCATGACAAAATGAAAGGCTCATAAGATATCTGGATGATGATGTAAGAAGGATTGTCTCATATCGTTGATGTATAACAAAGAAATCGCGCTACAGCTTCACACTAAAATCTATGGATTTTGAACATTATAGAAAAAACTACACCAAACTTCAAAATCTCTGGATTCGGAATATTACAGAAAGAATATATCAAAGGACAGCTATTAAATTTACGATTTGTTAGTTTTATACTTGAAACCTATCAAACTATCTCATCGTAAGCCTTCGTGATATACATGTATACCAATGGTGCAGAGAAGACGTGTTTATCTAAACCAGAACCCGTAGACTTAGAAATTGTAGATAAAGAAGGGCAGTTACGTCTGGTATTTCAATGTTCATTTCAATGATTCTTAGACAACAAATCGATCCTTTGGTTTGACTTGTTAACAGGACAACATCTCACAAGTTATAGAAATCGGTTAGTACAGAATATGTGTAGTGCAAATTTAACCGTTACACAACCTAACATACATATAGGTAGCATCGCTATAAAAAAAGGAAATTTGAGCCTAAGATAAAAGAAAATATCCTGGTTTTAACTAGTTAACAGGACATCTCACAAGTTATAGAAATTGGTTAGTACATAATATGTGTAGTGAAAATTTAACCGTTACACAACCTAACATACATCTAGGTAGCATCGCTATAAAAAAAGGAAATTTGAGCCTAAGATAAAAGAAAATATCCTGGTTTTAGCTAGTTAACAGGACATCTCATATAGAAATTGGTTAGTACAGAATCTGTGTAGTGAAAATCTAACATTTACGCACTCTTAATATACATATTGGTAACGGCGCAACAAAACAAAGTACATTTAAACATTGTCACGTCTGTGAAAAAGTAGAACATATAAAAATGAACAATAGTTTACATGTATTAACATACCTTGAAATCAACGTAACAAGGTAACGTTGACACACATGTTAAGTGAATAGAAGATAGATTTGAAAATACAAACAAAGCACAAAAAGCACTAAAAGATTGACGAACATATATCACACTGTCTCACCTGCTGATTTGAAAAGATGATGTACATGTGTGGTTTTAATATAACATAACTCTTTGGATACTTTTGGTTCCAAGTTAATAATTGAAACAAGGGCCATAACTCGTGCGAGTATATCGCTTGAGACGTATCAACCCCAACAATATTTTAAAATCGAAAACATTGGTTTTAACGTCATGCATTTTATTGCTAAGTTAACAAAGTAAAGATGCCTGTTTTACCTTAAAACATATATATTTTTAACTATTGTCAGAGTTGTTGTGGAGCTTTTGGTTGAATACCGTTAAAAACTGTGTACTCAAACAGTTCTTTACATTAATACTGTGATGTTTAATAAATAAAGGACGAGAAAAGTCGACGAAGACTCCCTTTATTGTTTCCATCCCGTAGGGGAGTTTACTTCACATACCTCGTGAGAGGGTGAAAAACTACAAGGCAAAACAGATAAAACACTCATAATTATCTCAAACTGACAAAAATGTTCGACCTAAACAATAGCCATTTTACTAGTACAACTCAACCATATCACTTTATGTATTAGTTTAGGCTTCTTTTATATGAACATTATGCCATCAAAATTACACAGAGTAAAATTATAATTGCTCCATACCACCGGATAATAAATTAGACAACACCCTGTGCTAACAGATCCTTCAAAACACAACACGTCACATACCAGACGAAATTATGGTTAGTTGCACGATATTATCATTACTATTATTCATATTAATACAGTTGGTACCCATAATGAAGTACAAAATAATAAAATATACTATTTGACTAGGTTATTGTGTCGGGCAAAAAAGCAGACGACACCGATTGAAATCTGGCGGGACTCACCCAAGCCCAACGAAACCATCGGATTTACCAAACGTACAGAATGAACATATGCATATAACATAAACTAGCATCAACTATACATTATGCAATAAATCATACAGTTATAATAAACACTTACTCCTTAGGGAGGCCCTCATTTAGCCAACACAATAGCAGCGTGACTGCGCCGCTTCCACATGGTAGACATATGAACTTTGGTAAACAAAACTAATATGCGGAATAGAGGCGGATACTAATTTCCAGACTATAAATTCTGGACTTATAATCCGGACTATAAATTCCGGACCAAGACCGTCACAAATACCACATAAACTGTATAACAATGTACATCTATAGTATATTTGGATGATGATGTAAGAAGGATTGTCTCATATCTTTGATGTATAACAAGGAAATCGCGCTACAGCTTCACAGTAAAATCTATGGATTTTGACCACTACACCAAACTTCAAACCCCGTGGATTTTGTATATTAAAGAAAGACTACACCTAACTTCAAAACCTGCGGATTTTGTATATTAAAGAAAGACTACACCTAACAATCTACATCTATAGTATATTTTTATTCCTACACAATTTATATATAGTCATGAATCAAAATGTAAGAACATTACATCTATCTCCCTTAAACATTCTTTTGGATTTTCCAAAAGGTCTTACATTTTTAATACGAATCAATAAGCCTAAATGTGATGTAAAAAAGTTGAATAACTATGGGGTTTTTTTTTTGTTTTTTTTACATATTTCGGTCTTTCCGTATCGTCTATTGCGATTTGTGAACACAATTAAATTACACATGCTGTTTGAGATATGATTATCTGACGAAAACCACATCTTTATNTGACTTCACAGACACCCGGCCCCTTGGCTATGACGGTAGGTGTTGCTGCATATGACTAATATCATACATTATTATTTGTTCTATTTCGAATTAGCTTTGTTTTAGTTTAAAATGAGTACGTCGCCAATATTGCTTGTGGCGCCTCCCTTAACAACCGTTTGTTTGGGTGATACGTCCCGGTTGTGAGAGGACTTGCGGGGACCTGATAATTTGTTACAGTATGGCAATATTTGGACCTTAACTGATGTGTTCCAAGTTATATAATAAATTTTAATTGTTTACATCAACTTTCGGTAAAATGGGGTAGCATTTTGTTCGTTGAATTCCAAAAATAGTTATACTGTAACACATTCGTAGGCCTCTGTAAGTGGACACACCTAGTATATGCTAGCCATTACTGTTTATTGTATACCACACAATCAATGAAAATTCTGTCAAATCCTTTACGACCTCCTCGCATTGTTCCTTCAGTTTACCATAACAAAGTGAGTTGTTACTCTCCTTTGTTCCGTGATATGCTTGATTGATCTTGCTCAGAGCTTGTATTGATCAAGAGACCTTGGTCAGGGCCTGTATTGATCAAGAGACCTTGCTCAGAGCTTGTATTGATCAAGAGGCCTTGCTCAGGGCCTGTATTGTTCACCTCGATGTTTAGGCAGTCATGGTTTTTCATTAAGAAAAGATACTACTAAATATTTTCCAATTTTAGGCCCTGCGTCTCGGTACTACAGGGGGAGGGGCACCCTTCATTTATATAAGATGTGATACTACCCCGATACCTAGGACGATCTATAGCAAATTTGGTTGAATTGTAAGACCAAATATTCAGGAAGAATAGTGTTTTTTCAAGAAATAAGCAAACAAATGCTCATTTTACGGTATTGCTGTTGGTCCTGTTGGTCAAGTCCAGTAAAAGCAATTGTATAATCTTAATCATTTTTCATGTTAAGACAACAGTCTAAGTATCCTGGGGTTTGGTCAGACCCCTCAGCCAATCCTGGTGGTATGATTATATTTATCACGTGATACCTAGCAATTGTTTATATTGACTTAAATGTAAGTTCCGGAGAAAGGGCACAGATTGAGTGGACCTGACACTGGAGTTAATCCAAGTGGCATGATTATGTTTATAGAGGCCTGGGGTTAGGCCCCGCCCCTCACATTCGACAGAATAACTTTGAGTGTACAGCTTTCCTGGCTCTTGGTTTAATTGTGTTAGGTTTGTTTGTGCTTTATGCCCCATTAATAGCTATGGTCATTTAAGGACGAACGAGGTTTTGGTGGTGGAGGAAAACCGGGAAAAAAACGCCGACCTGCGAACAATACCTGGCGACTCCCCCACGTTCAATTGTATGCCTTGAGCCCCGCGACCCATTGACGCAGGGCTAGTGATAATAGATGGTCAGACACATTAAGCACTAGACCCCCGCGGCCCCTAACTCCCTGGCTCAAATTATGGAATCAGCTAAAATTCCCAACCCATAATATTATAGTAATATATATCCAATCGTCTTCCTATAATGTTTGACTACTCAAATCAAGTCATGACAGAAAAGCTAATGTTCGACTTGATTAGGTGACTAATATAATGGTATTTTCAGGTGTATTATAGGGGGATTGTGTTTTATAATGGTGTTTTATGTCCATTTATGTTATTTTGCTGGTCAAATATGTCGATAAATTTGATGATTTCTTCTCAAGTGTCACATTACTTCCGGTAAGAAGGACTAAAGATTTACTTGGACCAAATCATGGTAATGAACATCATTTGTCGTGTATTTATCTATACATAAAAACATCTATGTATCTCTAGTACAAATCCCGTAAAGTGATCTCAGTAGTTTTGTACATGGATAATACATTCTATTTTAATTAATCACATTTGCCACGTGACAGAGTCGTTTTAGATAACAGACATATATAACAGGAGGCTGAAATACAGCTTATATTGCAGATATTTATGCGTATTATATTAATTATAAGGATCGAATTTTCGCGGGCATCTTTCAAACGAATTATCGAAAAAATCATCCCGCGATAATAAATAAATAGTTTTAAACGACTTTAATGATGCAATGGATGAAAATAGCTACCACATTTGTTCATATTAATCTTGAAATGCCTTTCTAAGACGAAGGATTTAGAAGTGTCGAAATGTTAATATCTCACCTGCTGACGAAACACAATGTCATAATTAACATTTTAACACCTTCAGTGTGTAAAATGGTGAGCTTTAAAACGTGTTTAATATTTTGCTTTGAAAAAAATCATACAACAGACTTAAATGAGTTAACAAAATGAAAATGAGGTTCCGAATTATAAAATGTATTATTTTAGGTTCAACAAACACATGCGAAGTAGAATCATGCTACTTGGCCTGTTACATACTGGTATCAATTTCATTGAAATATATGATAACGTCAATATCAACGTCATCTTTTAGAATACACCTTCATATAATTTCTTTGGTGCCGTCATTTTTACTCATATATACCAAACTTGTTTGGTGGTTGTCATAAAAAGATAGATCAATACATAATAATAATAATAATATACAACATTTGATATAGCGCCCTATCTAGCTAACATAAGACACTCTAAAGCGCTTTACAGTACATATATATACAATTATTACAATTGGGATATACAATTTTTGAGGAATTCGCAGGAGCTGCCATATCAGGCGCTAACTACTAGCCCTATGCCACCTGACTAATATCTCCCTATGTGTGTATGCCTGCGTGTGTGCTGGAGATGTATTGTGTTCTGTTTGTAGTGGGACCGTGCTTCCAACGGCATCCTTTATAGTGCCACCTCACTTGAATGCTACATCACAGATACCGCAACATCCACCCAAGACCATTTTATACTCCACCTGGGTTGTTAGAGTTGTGTGGGCAGGTGAAAAACACCTGCTCTCTGATATAAACCACTCGACCAATTCGCCCATAATTTATTTATTTTACAATAATTATGAAACAATAACTTATATTGATCACTCTTGTTGGCCTTGATGCTAGCGCGCAGTAGGTCTTAATGTGGTAGTAAACTGGTGAAAACCCAAGTGGTCGGACAGGTGACCTCATACCTTTTCACGTCCGATCGGGGAATCGAACCCCGACCGCCTTGGTGAAAAGCGGATGCGTTATCCACTGCGCCGGCCGACCACCCAGATAGAACGACAAGATAGATATGTACAGTGATATTTAAGAAGCTAAATTAAGAGAATAAACTGAAGGTGTATTAATGAGATGTGGATGTGAAAATGTCAATGGTAGTGAAAGGGATACGGGTATTGAAGTGATATATCCTGCTGCTTCCGGTATGAGTGTGATAGTGTATATGGGAAGATTGAGTATTTACATGTATCCTTTGATGCAGATGTCGTGTTCTTGGGTCTGAGGGTATGAGGATGGTCTGGGGATCTATTGCTACACGACGCTTGAGGATTATGAAGAAGTAACTAGGTTTGGTTTGTAATCCGTGTTTTTTTTAGCGTGGACCATCCTAGTATATCCAACATATTTTTTACTGAGCTTTTGTATTGAGGTTAGTTGTTGTATACGTATCGTTCTGCTGTGCATGGTTTGGTTGATGTGATGTATGTTGTATATTCTATACGTTAAAGATATTAAGCATTTGTTTTGTAGAAACTGCAAGAAAATCGATGACGGGAATATGGATGTTGTCTTGAGTGAAGAAACGCTTAAACAGAAACTGGAGAAATTTCCATCAACCTTTGATTTTGATTTGACGAATCTGACCAAGGACCGAGGGAAAAGCATCATAAAAAAATTAGAAGAAGACCGGGAAAACACAAGAAAGCTTGCAACAGAAGATATACAGATAAGTAACTTTCTGTCGTATCTGTGTTTCTTGTTGGGAGAATTTCAACATGCGCATGAATATATTCAGGAATCTCTCCAAAAAGATCCTGATAATATTATAGCTAACACAAATAAAGCCAGAATTCTTTTAGAAGAAGGGGAAATCTCTGATGTAGATGATATAATAGCAAAACTTCAGAAATTGAAAGGAAGAGACGATTTCGACAGGAGGAAATACTATGCGGAAGCGGATCTTGCGTACGCGTATTCGCGGTCGGGTCCTTGGTATCTCCAAAAGGCGGTAGATCTGTTCACCCCAGTTGTGGCGGCGTATCCTACAGAGTATGCATGGCAATATGGACTCGGTCTGACTTTACTCTGACAGACTCACTTTTTTAATTCACAGGCAGAGGGCAGATTTAATACGGAACAAAACGAGAAGACAACAATACATGCTGCTGAGCTGTTACTAACTGTTGCTACGGAATCAGATGATCCCGTTTTACGTGCGAATGCATTTGCCAGATTAGGAAAAGCTAGCTTCCAAATTTGGAAAAACAACCATACAAACGTGCCTGATAAAATTAAGCGTTTAAAGTCTAAAGAATGTTTTGAAAAAGCAATTGAATTATGTCCAGAAGAACCATCGGTGTTAGAAACGTGTGGCCGATTCGCACGCTACAGAGGGGAACTAGATACATCGGAAAAACTCCTACGGAAATCTATTCAAATCAAGCCAACGTGTCAAGCGTATCACCATCTTGCTCTGACATTAAAGAGGCGAGTAGAAAATATGCCATATGGAGGAAAGTCTGTAAACAGAACTGAAAAGGGCCGTTTAGAAAAGGAGTCTGGGAATCGTTCACGAGGGAGTTATCAGGGAGGTCAGGTAAGAAGTCAACAGGGTGTCCGTTCCTACAGTCGTGGAGGGATATACAACCAGTCAGAAGAGATAAAACTTCGTCAAAAGATAAATTCACCGTTACACGTTCCTGTTTGCCATGGAAACGAACTACTTGTTGAAGCAGTAAAGTTACTAGAGAAAACAGAAGAACTGACTGAATATGGTCTTGGAATACAGTACGACAAGGGAATCATATATAGAATGCTAGGCCAGATAGAAAAAGCTGTGGAAGTTTTCAAACAAATAGTCTCAAAACGGAAATATCTTCCTACCAAATCACTGATGACAAATGTGTATGAACAGCTTGGACTTTGTCTCATTGAGTTGAGTAAAAGCAATGAAATCTCCCCAGACATTCAGCAAAAATACAAGAAAGATGGTAAAGTCCATCTCTTACATGCTGTCCAACTCCAGTCGGAAATAGTAGCAAACGATCTGCAGTTCAAAGCGGCGTGGAACTCCTATCCAACACTCAAAGAACTCTTCAGCGATGCAAGAGACAAGAAGCCAAAACAATTGGCAGTTCTGCACATGCGCATGGAAGATCATAAAGATTCAATCACAATATACGAGGAATTACTTTTGAAGGAGAAAGGACAAATGAACCAAGAGGATTTTATTAACTTGCTTGAATGCTATAAGAGAGATGGACAGTTTGAAAAATGTGTTGTTGTTTTAAAATCTTTGGAGTGTACAACTATATTTTTGGGTCTTCCTCCGTCTCTGATCTTTGATGTGTATATAGATTGCGCGTTTCACGCTTACACAACGGATACCGCACAACTTGCGTACCAACACTTTAGACGCGCCTTCAAAGTGTACAGTATGTTTGACAAGATCAATGAAGACGCGATCAACGTTGACGAAGATGACGACACAAAAGACACACTGATATTACACTCTTGTTCCCATGACGAGGAATGCAAACTTCCCAGAAATCTCGGAACCATTCTAGAAGATGTTACAGGATTACGATACACAATGAACTCAGACGACGTGCTGCCAAATGAATTACTATTGACATCAACGGCTTCTATAATACAGAAAATTCCATGTATCATAATCATGACCCACGAGTGTGCGGACTCCACGAGTGTGGATCAATTATATGTCGAGCAAGCTATCAAGAGGAGTTCCGAACAAAGTGGCCCCCAAGTGTTGGTCGTGACGGACGACGAGTGCAACATGCCAGATATTGCAAGAACAAAGCCGTTTATCCGGATGCCTCCTCCATTAGAGGGCGCTATGGAACCAATCGAACAGATACCAGAGGAGCATCAAGAATGGGTGAAAGAGTTCATCACTCTCCTGAAACCAAAATAACTTATTTGTCCCCATATTGCTATAACTGCCGCTATATTCGCTTGAGTATCCCCGTATCACTGTTAGGGTTTGCCCTTCATACATTGCGGAACTTTTATTACAAAATCATATTAAGGAGTAATTAATAAAACATAATCAACAACAGTGTTCCGAGTTTGAAAATTCAGCCAGCAGGAGCTAAAATTGTATTCGAATCCTAGACTTCAGATTGTGATACTGTCCCTCTAACCAACCCAGCTACCTTCTCAACGAAAGTGTTCTGATCCAACTGTTATATACGACGCGAAATTAAAGGGAGGTCACTGTACATACGAACAACCGAGAGTGCATTGACACAGGTGTCCTTTACATAGAAGTGTACACGCTTTAATTCCGTGAATGAGATCAATGAGTGTTACAAATTTACTCGAGCAAACAACTAAATCAACAACTGAGAAAACAACTGATCAGTTTAACATCAGCAGTCATAACAACAGTGTACACTTCTGTCTTAGTGTTCAAAACATCACTAGGCAGGTTTGCGTTCAGTCATTATTTTATCAATGTACAGTATCGCGCGGGCACTCGTTACACCAGCTAATTGTTTGAGGTTACTGAAAAATATTTTCGATAATTTAACTTTGCTATGCCAAGCCAATCAACTAAAAAATACTGTATATAATGAACCGTGTCTGTAAATATAGTGTATATAAATTGCCTTGCTTATGAAAATAATTCATTTAAAGAAAAGTTTCTACAATATATATAAAAAGAAACCTCTTCTCTAAAAAGTCATATATATGTAGAATATTGTACATAAACAACCATTCAATAAATGATCGGTTGTCATATTTTTGACGTTTATTGGCGTGTAAACTACATCGGGCGTTAACGCACCATGTTAAATATATCGCAAGCCCGATGTAGTTTACTGACTGTTACGTGTCCATGGTTTCAATGTTTGTTCTGTTAATTGACCGTTGAGTATCATTCAATGCTTTTATTTGACTTGAAAGTTTCATTGATATCAATGTTTTTTGATTAATCGTGAATTGTGACTGATGTCAATGTTTCTTAATTGACCTTTAAATTTTCTACTTCTTGACTTAAAGTGTCAATGATGTTAGTATTGTGTTCAATTGACCGTAAAGTATCACTGATGTCAATTATATTGTATTAACCTATGAGTGACAATGATGTCAATGTTCTATTAATTGACAATTAAGTGTCAATGATGTCAATATTCTGTCCATTGACCTATACATGTCATTATTCTACTCATTGACCAAAGTGTTTGTGATGTCCAATGTTTTGATGATTAACCTTTAAGTGTCACTGATTTCAGTTTTTTAAATGACTTTTTAGTTTCAATGTCGTCTTTTAATTGAACTTTAATTGACATTAATGTGAATTTTGTTTACTGACTGGATTTGTCTCTTAATAACTATCAACATTTCAGACACAAATAATGCATCAAATATGATAAAATATTTAACATTGGATTTTACTTGCTACAAATCAAATTATTTTATTGAAAAAATATATAGTTCTATAGTAGCGATATAAAATTTTGTCAAAAAACCCGTAATGCAACAATGAAAGCATGAAAATATATATTACATATCAAAAAATATGTTTTCAATTTTAAATCATTAAGTATGTCTTTACCTAATTGAGATTATTTATATGATATGATTGATAACTAATTGTTTTTTGTGAATTAAAGGACATTTTGAGATTGGATCTCGCGATGGTTAAAGTTGACAATCATAATGATTAAGCCTTAAGAAAACTTTCATTAGTTCAATTCATCACACTATGATACCATATCAAGTGTCAATCCTTATAAATCCTTTATGCATATCCAAATTGCTGTAAAGAAAACTATTATATCTTATGTACTATCGTGAAATCTTTGGCAATGCATCGGGAAAAATTAATTGTGAGTTCATTTATGCAGCAATACTGTACGATGACGTCACAATCCAAGGTGGATAGTTTGTGGGTTTGCATACATAATGTGGGAGGTTTATACGTAGGTAGACGTAACGTGGTTAGTCTGTGAGAGGATAACATTGTTTGGGTAGTTTCAGAGAGGAAAGACATAATTCAAGTATTTTTTTGGGAGAGGAGACTTAAGTTGGGTAGTTTATCGGTTGGTAAACATACATTTGGTAGTTTGTGAGAGGATAGACATAATGTAGGTGCAGACATAAGTTTGGTAGATTGTGGGTGGGTAGACATACATTTGGAAGTTTGTGGGAGTGCAGACATAAGTTTTGTAGTTTGTGGGAGTGCAGACATAAGTTCGGTAGTTTGTGAAAGGTAAGGTATAATTTGGGTTGTTTGTGAGAGTACAAACATAAGTTGGGTATATAAAGGGTGGGAAGACATACATTTGGGTGGTTTGTGGGAGTACAGACATGATTTGGTTGGTTTGTGGGAGTACAGACATAAGTTGGGTAGTTTGTGGGAGTACAGACATGATTTGGGTGGTTTTTGGGAGTACAGACATAATTTGGGTGGTTTGTGGGAGTACAGACATAATTTGGTTGGTTTGTGGGAGTACAGACATAAGTTGGGTAGTTTGTGGGAGTACAGACATAATTTGGGTGGTTTGTGGGAGTACAGACATAATTTGGGTGGTTTGTGGGAGTACAGACATAATTTGGTTGGTTTGTGGGAGTACAGACATAAGTTGGGTAGTTTGTGGGAGTACAGACATAATTTGGGTGGTTTGTGGGAGTACAGACATAATTTGGGTGGTTTGTGGGAGTACAGACATAATTTGGTTGGTTTGTGGGAGTACAGACATAAGTTGGGTAGTTTGTGGGAGTACAGATATAATTTGGTTGGTTTATGGGAGTACAGACATAAGTTGGGTAGTTTGTGGGAGTACAGATATAATTTGGTTGGTTTATGGGAGTACAGACATAAGTTGGGTAGTTTGTGGGAGTACAGACATAATTTGGTTGGTTTGTGGGAGTACAGACATAATTTGGGTAGTTTGTAGGAGTACAGACATACATTTGGGTGGTTTGTGGGAGTACAGACATAATTTGGGTAGTTTGTGGGTGTACAGACATTATTTGGGTGGTTTGTGGGAGTACAGACATAAATTGGGTGGTTTGTGGGAGTACAGACATAAGTTGGGTAGTTTGTAGGAGTACAGACATAATTTGGGTAGTTTGTGGGAGTACAGACATAATTTGGGTGGTTTATGGGAGTGCAGACATACGTTTGGTAGTTTGTGGGAGTGCAGACATACGTTTGGTAGTTTGTGGGAGGAAGCACATAAGTTTTGTAGTTTGTGGGAGTACAGACATAAGTTGGGTAGTTTGTGGGAGTACATACATAAGTTATGGAGTTTGTGGGAGTACAGACATCAGTTGGGTAGTTTGTTGGAGTACAGACATAATTTGGGTGGTTTATGGGAGTGCAGACATACGTTGGGTAGTTTGTGGGAGTAAGCACATAAGTTTTGTAGTTTGTGGGAGTACAGACATAATTTGGGTGGTTTGTGGGAGTACAGACATAAGTTGGGTAGTTTGTGGGAGTACAGACATAATTTGGTTGGTTTGTGGGAGTACAGACATAATTTGGGTAGTTTGTGGGAGTACAGATATAATTTGGTTGGTTTGTGGGAGTACAGACATAAGTTGGGTAGTTTGTGGGAGTACAGACATAAGTTAGGTAGTTTGTTTGAGTACAGACATAATTTGGGTGGTTTGTGAGAGTGCAGACATACGTTGGGTGATTTGTTGGAGAATATGCAAAAGTTTAATAGTTTATTGGAGTATAGACATACGTTGGGTTGTTTGTGGGAGTGCAGACATCAGTTGGGTGGTTGGAGTACAGACATAAGTTTTGTGGTGTATGGGAGGACATACGTCAGGTTGGTAGTTCGTGGGAGGGCAGACATAATGTAGGTAGTTTATGAAAGGTTAGGTGTAATTTGGGTTGTTTGTGAGAGGATAGCCATAAGTTAGGTAATGTACAGACATACATTAGGTAGTTAATGGGAGAATATACGTCAGGTGGGTAGTTTGAAGGTGGTGAGACGTGCAGAGGGTATTCCGTGGGAGGGAAGATTGTGGAAAGATCGACGTAAGTGGTGCGTACTTTTGGGTAATCTATAGGTTTATATATGTTATGTATTTTTTATAATTAACAGGCCAGTAAGTTTATAAAACATGGCTAGTACTAATGTTATCATGTACAAATACAGGTGTATGTCAGTGGTATAATAAAGGTGTACATCTTGGTTGTATCCGAGTTGGATTCATGAATTAATTCTTGATATCAAGGATCCACTGTAGCTACTAACACATAACCACACTCATCAAGATGGCATCTGTAGTGAAGGGTCGATTTAGAAAACCAAATAAAGTCAACATTTTACTCCATCATATGGCCATTACCTCCATTACCTCATTCACACATGATATTTCATAATGAGCTAGTCAAACTTTTAAATTGGAAGAGTTCAAATGTATCTTTATGGGTGAATATCCATGCATGGAGAGTTCTGAAAAATGTAAAATACTGAAAAAAATGAAAACTTTTAACATAAACTTTTGGCTACATATAAGGTAATTATTTCTTTATGTGGTATTTCATTTATACCGTGTCAGAATAAATCCAAGCTACAAGGTGACGGCCAATCTCGGAGAATGACATTCCACCAACAGTGTTAAACACATAGCGACGTTATAAGCAGTTAGTCAAATACAAAGTAGCCAAGCAGCTATCTCAATTAGTTAGCGATTCGGTGCAGAAAGTCAAAAATATTTACTGTACCATATGACAACTTTGTCCATTTGGGACGCATCAGTTAAGGTCAACACTGTTTATATAACATGTTTGACGTTACTACTATAACAGCATTCTTCCTATAACAGATATAATAAACTCTACTGTACCAGACACGTGCTTTTAACATCCTCAAAACATTTAATATATTTATACATCAACCTTTTATTAGTTTTTACTCCGCAAGATACATGCATTTAACATCCTCAAATCATAACATACATTTATACATCAACCTTTTATTAATTTGTACTTTGCCAGATACATGCATTTAACATCCTCCAAACATAAAATACATTTAAACATCAACCTTTCCCCTTTAGTTCGGAGAAAACTATAAACCTGTCAAAATTCACATCTTTACGAAGGATAAAACTCTTTAAAACTATTCCTGTCGATCAAAAACGAAACCAAAACTAAGCTACTGCTTTCGCTGTGCTTTTCCAAGAAAAGCCTTCACACACTACCCGGTCTGTATGTTTGTTATGTTTTGTTGGATGACAGCCAACTAGGTCAACACCACCTCATCAATAAGCTCGGTGCATCATGTGACTAAGATTGTGCATTCTGAATAATCTGACGACAATCGAAGTTTTAACGAGTACGTGGATGATGTGGTATTCCCTATTTATCTAGCGTGCTATTAACTTAGCATAAATGTGGAGTTTAGAATTCTCATCGGTGGACTCTTTGTGATCGTATGTGAATGAACACGCCACGTGTACGTTGCTAGCCATACTTGTTTATTATGAACGATGGGTATGGCATACCGTACACCTTTCCCGTCTAGTTCGGCCTACTGTTCTTTTTTCTATTCATTTGACGATTTAATAGCTCCACCGGTGTTATCTATCCTTTGAATTCCCTGCACATACATTATCTATTTAGCTAATTTTCAAT